GACAATAACACAGACCAGAACTCTTCAGCTACTGATTGATGGGCCATTAAAGGAAATGCTCTGGCACAGCCTCAGAGAGCCAATCTGAACTTTGTCACTGATAAGAAGGGGGAAACGATTGTCACGAGCATTATGAGGTATTTCAGGGGCCTTGCAGGATTATGCAAAATGCATTTATGGAACAGCAGAACAGGGCTGTGGCTTTAGTTAAAACTTACTATGGGCTATTTAGGGCCAAAGGAAGGCAAAGGGAATGATCAAGGTCAATTACAGAAGAATGACCAAAGGAAAAATGGAGAGAAGATGATTTAAAAGTACTTCATCACATGTAAATAGGCTGGGGATTACCACACTTGTCTGCCTGCACCCTTGACCCTTCAGGAGCACAGTCTGCCTCATCTTCTTATTAAGTCCTTTATGTTCTTGCATGTAATTCTACTCACTATCTTATCAGTAGCTGGAGGAGAGGCCACAGGTAGCAGAGCCTGCAGACCTAAGTGCCAGAACCTGGAGAACGTGGCATGCAGCGGAGGTCTGGGTGTCAGTAACTGGAGGGACTGGGATTGCATGCTGCAAGGTTGGAACATCAGCAACTGGAGAACGGGGCCTTAGGCGGGTCACAGGGGCCAACAAGTTAGGGTGGCAGTGGCTGGAGAGAAGACAGTGGGTCAGAGGGCCCTAGGTTTGTGTTCTAACAACTGGAAAGACCCACGTGTGTTTGTTTTCCCAGTGAATTTAATCCTGAGTGCACGTGTGTACGTGGAATTCACATCAGCAAACTTGAAGGTGAGCAGGAGGAGACCTGCATCTGAAAAGCCTGATGGTTGCATAGCCCTGGTCCAGGGTTCAAGCACAGGTATTAAGTAGACCGAGAGCCTCTGCTAATACTTGAAAGATCTGTGTGACTGCACTTGTGAAGGGAGTGCAAGTGCGTGCATTTAGCTGACTGAACATCAGGAGAAGGAGCAAGACCTGGCCACCTCTACGTATGTGTTATGTGAATTGTGGCAGTACTACATGTGGGTGCTACAAAGGCAGTGTTGTCAGTGGCAGTCTGCGTGGACAGCCACATTAGTGTCCTCTTAGGTGTATGTGTGTACCTCTAGGATATATCCTCAGCCCCTCTACTGGCCAACCTGCAAATGGGAAAAGCAGCAGCCACATCCATTGGACTGGAATGGAGAGACTTGTACCTCTCTGGACTTTAATAGCTGGGAAGAAGGAATATGCAGATCTTGGATTGCTGGATGCAGTGGTTTTCTTCACATCTTTAACAAAGTGCATTTAGATCAAATTTATTTAAAATTGTCCTTTAAATATTGCCAAATAAAGACAGACATATGGTGCTATGTATTTGATAAAATGTCGTATCACAAATGAAAGTAGATAGGGTGTATTCCTCATGGTTTGTCTATTACATGCAAGAGTTTAAATTAAGCAGTTCAGTTAATTACCCAGCCCAGCCCAAGAGCATTAGCCTAACCCCAGCTGTACAGGCAGGCATAAAAAATGATGAATATTCACCCAGTATGTGCATTTACTTAATGCCAGTGACTGAAAACTGGTTTTGTTGGTTTTGCTATATGGTGGAAATGGCACCATTCTAACAGAAGTGTAACTCTAATCCAATTCAATTAAATTAACAGAATCTTTCTGCAAAAAGTATTTTAAAATTAAAAGTGCTTGGTTTGGTTTCATTTAAGCACCAAAAAGGTGCTAAGGCAGTGTGTGCAACAAGGCAGGCTGAACATGCACGTAAATCCCCTTATTTGTCTTCAGAGGACTAGTACATGACTGACAGCATTTAAATTTAGTGCATTAAATACATCACAGGGTTGGTGAGTCTTTGTAAAAGTGCTGACAGAGTGCCCCTCATTGGGCTTTTAACTTAATCCACTTGCAAATTTGACGAAAGGGTCGTGCTTTCAGTAAGGAGACATGAACAAAGCACTGTAGAAAGACCAACTCTGAATGCTCATCACATCAACATTGATTGTAATTTCAGTATCTGCTGTTACATTCCTAATACCAATGCTCAGCACATGCACCGTAAATTCACATACCAGCTTACTTTACAGTAACTAGTTTACATGCTCACATATCACTAAAACATAACAAATAAAGAATGGATTATTTCTTGCTCATTTACTTGCACATGGAAGCCATACATAGCCTAGAAACCAGTAAAACTGACAACTTCCAACCCAGGTAACTCCCAGGTGCAGGTAGTGAGATTTGAAGGCAGAGTTATTTGAGTTCCATTTCAGTAACTTACAAGAGATGTTGGAACCTGATGAAATGCAAGAATTTATTCTCAGTATTGGAAAATGGAAAGAAGTAATGCCCAATCTACAGACACGTGCAAACATGAGCGGCACGTCCTGACTTGGCAATAACATGCAGATTGGCATTTTCTCTGCTATTGCTGTTTTAACTGGTATTCTAGTCTAAGCTGTTTGCAAATGCAAATTAGATTTAAATTTTCTCGACATATTTCATTAAAAATAAATATTTTTTCTTCAGTACAAATTCATTTCCATCATTCTGAAATCTCTTGCTTTAATCAAAATTCTAGTTGTTCTATCTGCTTAGCAGGCTTCTCTAGAAAGCACTGCCATTGGTTTTGAAAATAATCTAAATTCAAAGTTCTGAGTTTGTACCAAACCAACTACCTACCAAGTCGAACAGAAAGCTAGCAAAGTTAACTGTAGGTTAATGTGAGAGGGTAGAAAATGCCTCTTGCCAACTATTTTCCTTTCAGTCTTACAGAAATGGAAACCCCAAGGCAGAAGTATTTTAAATCACTTGTTCCTACTGCACCATCACCTTAGTCCATAAGTAAAAACTGCATCTGTCAACATTCCTGTGGGCATTATAGCTCTGCCTTCTAGCAAAAGCCACAGTGAGCTGATAAATCCTGAACTAAACCACCCTTTCTGTGATGCCACTCATGCTGTAATAATATCTGCACATTACAAGCTTAAACACAAATATTTAGCCTACACATAAAATCATTTTCCTCCTCAGTACAATGAACTCCATTCCTGCTACACAGCTGTAAGGGTCCAGTTATGTATAGCTGCATTACAATGCATGTCCACTGGAAACTATGGAGATTTAGCGATGACCAGTATGCCATTCACCCAGATTTTAGGATTGGGTTTTATGCCATTCAAATAGAAAGAAAAGATGGGCTAGAATGGTAGTCCCTGCGAAGCGCTCCTGCTGCAGCCCCCAACCCTGCCTGCTGCTGCTTCACGGGAAGCTGCTTTTCAGGCCTGAAAGATCTGTTCAAAAGCTAGCTCATCATCATGATTCAAGAACCCTGCATAGGTAAAGACAACTGGATAGCTAGTGTCTCTTTTTCTTTGAGTCCAGATAACTTGAACATGTCTTGGTACTTGTGAGTATGAGTGAATTAAACTTACAGGAAAATCATAATAGGTAAAAACGAGCTTGCTGAACGACCCAACAAACCCCCTAATTGCTAAATTCCAAGAAATAAGTTTGTGACTCATGAGGAGCACAGAAAAGTTAAAGGCTCTGTAATAAAGTGGTATTTCTTTTTATCCTAACAACTTAACTCTCAGCCTGTTACCCTAAACTTTCGTCCTGAACCTATTATCTTTCAAAATGCACTTAATGGGTATGTTTGAGCTCCATCAAACTTCTGCAAAGTTACAGTTCTCACTGTATGTTTATTCTCGGAGACCAAGATTCTTTTCTTCCCCAGAGCTGGTAATTCTGAGCACTATGATGTTGTGATATGCCACATTAGACTACTTCTGACAAAAATAGCAGGAGCAATTGGTTAGGAACAGAAAAAGAGGAATAGAAAAAAAATATTTCAGAACAACAACATAAAATTGTGTTTTCTATAAATAGCAAGTGAATATTTGTGTTTGTTCACTTTTTTTTTCCTGAATCCATTGTTAAACCTAAATTTGTCTGAAGAATTTTTCTCCTCAATCCATGTGTCTGTCTCAAAAGGTGTCACTACTCATGCAAAGATATGAGGCGCTTTGCAGAGAATTTTGGCTGTAACAATGGGATTAGACAACGCTCTTCAGTCACTGCAGTGGCAGCTGCATTCACTTCCCTCATACACCAGACTCAAAGTCAGAAGCAAATGCTTAGTTTGCAAGCCAGAACATGATCTGCTGGGTATTTACAGCCAACCACTGAAATCCCTGAAACCTGTCAATGATGTCAAACAGGACAGAAATAGATAGTCTTGCCTATTTTTCCTAAATGAACTTGAATTCGTAAAAGAAACAGGAACAAAAACCTTGAAGAGAAAGATTCTCTTCTAACACAACCACTACGAAAACACTACACTACTCAATTTTTCTTGGAAGAAACACCTAAAGAAATCATGTTTGTGTGTCTGTCTTTGTGTTTCTCTAACATAGTCAGAATCAGCAACAAAAAAAAACCAATTTTTTCTTTTCACTCAAAAGCATTTTTTTTCTTCATATGAGACACACACTGATACCAGCAGGACCTATAAGGAAAGTCATCATGCCACGTCACATGGCACTAAGTATAACTATGTTTGTAAATGTCAGTCCTTAACACCAGGTGAAGGAGCTCAAACTTCACCACCACAAACATACATTACTTCTAGACTGCCTTACAGTAATCCATTTTGCAGATGGTTTGCAGAACAAAACCAGGAACAAAGTCAAAACGAGGAAACTCTTTCCAGCCTCATTTTTTATTACTGAAGATTTTATTGACTGATAAAAGTAAGGGCAGGCATCAGATTTAGTACGAAGCTGCTTTCAGAAAGTATCATGAAAACCAAGCTGCATGACTTCAGAGAGAGTGACAGGCAAAAATTAGTTCTGGGAAGTTTCAAGTCTAAGTAGTCCTTCTACGCTGCCTGTTCTCAAGCAGTGCTGTTCTTACCCTTACAGAATCAGTTTTCTGTTCTCCAACTCAGCAACACAGTAAGAAGCAGAGCCTGAATTCAGAATGAATAAAATGAGAATACTCACGCTGACCCCATCGGCCCGTTCTTGGATTCAAATAATTTGGATAAAGTCCGTTAGGACGATCCATTTTTTGAAGTAACTTCCGAATGTGCATGACCTAAATGAAATCAAGAATCATGATCACTACTAACAACATTCATCTGCACTCTGGACACAGTGAAATCTCATACGTTTTCTTTTTCTTTTTTTTTGGTAGTAAATTTTCTCAATCTGAACCCCTAAGCTTTGAGGGCTCCCTGCAGATTCGTATGTTTTTGTTTGTAAAGGACTGCTCACATAAACATGTTTAAAATCTACAATTTTTAAATGTATGCTGAAACAAGTAAGAAAATTTGTCATAAATTTATACTTGAAAAAGATGTTTATTTGTTAACAGAAATACCTGCATGCAAAAATTTACCTGCAACCAAGAATGCAAATAGAATTCAGTACCAGAAGTACATCCCCTTTAACACAATTTATCATGAAACAGTGTAAAAGACACTTGTATGATAAAAACCCTGAACTTGAGACCCACCTTGTTGTAGTATACAGGGTCCCCTGTCAAATAGCTGAGGTGGACAAATTCCATGTGCAGAGTACCAAACTCAGCGAGGATGCTGCTGCCGGCAGAGGCCCAGCCCCAGTTTCTACCTACACCACTGGATTCCAACAAATATGCATAGAAAACAGGAGAAAACAACAAAAGAATCAGAGTTACAGCACTAGTATCAACCACCACAGCACATTAAACAAGTAACAGCAAAATATTAACCCGTACTTAAGAATACAAGAGTTGTGGTTTGATTGATCAGTTGCTTCACTGGTTGTGTCTTCGTGGAAAAAAGATACCATAACCTCATCACCAAAAGTCCTGTGATTAAAAGATATAATATCTTGATGCCACAGAAATATAATGTCTTAACACTGAGCCCAATTTCAATCGCTTATTCATTAGATATTTTTAAGAACAAGACTCAAAAGCAATTATCAGATGAGTATACTTGCAAAGGTGGCAGCATTTGCTTCCTTGTTCTGCCAAACATCTGCTCTGTTCCCTTTACTTGTGCGAGTTGTGCTTCAAGCTAGTATTAGACATTCTAGTAGGATGGGAGTGGGTCCTATCTGTATCTACATAAGCCAGTAGGCTTACTATAGGCAGAACATTGTGATTTCTTCAGGCTGACATAAAGAATCAACAGAAAGCATCATATACCTCGGATCTTTTTCGCTGTAAGAGGTACCATCTTGGTAAGTCATAACTCCTAAACCATCTCTGGTTTAACTTAATTTGGGAGTTTTCAACACCTTTCAGGATTAGGTCTTTTAATTTTCCTGGAGATGACTTCTACTTTTTCTCATAAAAATTTCAGTTATCAGTAAGACTACAATCAATTAGGAATGACTTCTTGTTTTTTCAATTAAAAATTAGAAAGAGGAAATGTAAAGGAAAAATGTTGGTTATGGAGCAGTATTTGTAGCTCTGACCCCACCTTTTTATGATAGAGTAACTAGAGCGTAGAGAGACAAAACCATAGCTTGTCTCAGTATTTTTTTGGTACAGGTCTGGTAACAAGAGAAAATGAAGTGTTTCATTATGAATGCAAAAAGCTAAAAAAGCCACAGGACAATAAAGCTCCAACTATTTCTTTAAGGTCTTGTCTTCTATTGCACATGAGTCTCATGATAAATGTTCTCATATATGCCTGCTACTGTCACTGCCCTCTGGCATGCCAGCACTGCTGTCATGTCTGATGCTGGCTGGTTCTATACATTATCAAGAGACTGATGCAGTAAATGCACAAACAATACCATCAAACAGGAAGTTTCTGCCACTCCAATCTTTTCCCTTTCACCAACAGCAAATTCTACTCCCTGGTCCAGCCTTTCTGATGTCCTCTGTATGCTTAGCCTCCACGTTTTCCTGGTAAGTACCCATGCATCTAGTGCTTACAGCTTCCTAAACCTCACCATCTGCGCTGCTTGAGCCTGTGAAGGAGATGCCTTTGCTGCCTGAGGAGGATGGCCACTGGGGCCTTTCAATCATACTGGAATCACGGTGCAGTGCTTGCTAAACAAAGGAAAAAGAAAACCCTAACTTATGCACAGAGGAATTTCAAGCCCTATGAAACTGCAGGAAGAACCCAAGACTGAGTAAACTATAATTCTGTGCCGAAAGTACATAAGGAAATTTAACCCAACAGTAATTAATTGCACAGAGATCCAATAAATGGCCTCAGAGGGGGAAATGCAGCACGGGCAAAGCAGAGAAAACCAGGGGAGGGTGGTGACACCCTGCGCCAACAGAAAGGCAAACCACATCTCCATGGTCTTCACCCGAGGAATGACAGCAAAGGGAGAAATGTTTCCTGATCTTCAAAAGGCATGTAAGGCTAATGCTCTCAAAGTCATCTCAAACCTCAGCACAGCCTAACAAAGCAAACAAATATCTCTCCTAAAAGGAAAACAATTCAGAACAATTCAAAGCTCTCTGCTATTTACCATCATGAATTGCTTAGGAGTATACATACAATCTAGACATGCATCTCAACTCAGCTACTGTTTAAGTACATAAGAAAGATGTTAAAAACACCTTGCATCAAAAACACTCTCAAAATCTAAGGGAAATCCCAGGACTGAACAAGAAATACAGGGCAAATTAACCAAGGCAATTCTCTTCCACAGGGCAATGCAAGACCATCTAAGTTCAGTGTCAGTCCCAAACAGCCATCTAAAGAAACCTCTCCTCCACTCATCATTGTGGATTTCAGCACACTAGCCTTTATAGCTTAGCTGAACTGTGAGATGGATGAATATCTGCAGCATCCCATTGTTTTCTCAAACACTGTGAGTCTTTTAAAGGTAACATACAGCTCACACAGTACATAAACCCCAGGAAGTTCAACCATGGCCTGCGAACCATTTTGTTTTTTTCTACAGGTTCTTTAAAGAACCAATGATTGAGCTCTAAGGCAACACGTGGAATAACACACTGGGTATGTTCCAATGCCGTGTTGAACTCTTCTTGCAGAATCAGGAGGAAAAAACCCACATGGTCACAGTTTGTTGCAGTTAAGGAGACAGTATGCTCTGAACTATTCTAAAGTGCCCGGAATGCCAATTTGTCTTGCAGCATCTTCTACAGTCCCACTACTAAGAAAAACTGACATATGCCATTACTCATTGTAAGTTGGGAAGGAGAAGAAGGAAAATACTTCCCCACAAAAGAAAATTCATTACCTTTTCAGATTCACCATTGCCCATGGTATACCCGTAGGTGTATTGAAGGCTGGAAGAAGTTTTCCTGCCAGTTGCACTGCTTTGATCTTGAAAACCTAAGATAGTAGGACCAATTGCAAAGAGTTACAAAGCCTGGTTTACCTCCAAGAACTAAAAAGCCTGAAATCTCCTTGCCCCACCCACCTCTTCGTATTAAAAAGCTTTACATTGTAAAAAACATGGTAAATTACATTTTTTTTTTCAGTCGTTCACTTTATAAATTTTCTTAAGACTTGAACGTGGAAAGAAAACTTGTCATTTTCATTTCTTTCCTTCCATATTCACCAGCAACAGTGCTTAGGTTTGAATTAAAGAAGGATATAAATTCTCCTCCCACCTCCCTCCACCAGTATTAGGAATTTCAAGTGTTTTCTAAAGGAGTCTTTAAACCATACTTTATATTTTGTAGCTAAAAATCAAGAGAAGAGAAAACTCTCCCACCCCTCACACAAGTATTTTAACTTTTACAAACTTCCAATCTCTCTTTAACGAGAAACATACATATAGTGCAGACAGAGTTTCTATTGTTTTACGAACATTGTGCAAAACCATATATACACAGTTCCCTGCAGCTTTTCCTTCATTGATAATGCATCCAAAAATGATTATAGGCTTCATCTTCATCTCAAGTCTGAACGCTCAAAGAAATTACTGATGGGACGAAACGTCTTTCATTTCCAGTGTTGTTTCTACCTACTTTTGGGCCATAAGTCCGTAATAGCCTCATTCATAGCCTAATATTTATTAGTTAAATGAACAATTGAGAGAAAGTTCCTTCTAAGCCTATAGGAAGCACCTTTTTCAAAGAATGCATTATTTAGTAGATCCCCATGACATAAAACTGGTTTTACCAGCTAGTTGCTAGCATACATTTTCAGTATTCATTCCATTTCTGCAGAAGTATCTTCTTTCTTTGGAGATAACATTATTCATCAGTTTGAAGCACTGTATGAACATATAACTTAAAGAGCTACCATGCCCCCAAATAACTTATGCACCATAGGCATTGTGCACTTGCAGCCCAGAAAGCCAACCATATCCTGGGCTGCATCAAAAGGAGCGTGACCAGCAGGTCAAAGGAGGTGATCCTGCCCCTCTACTCTGCTCTTTTGAGACCTCCCCTGGAGTATTGTGTGCAGTTCTGGTGTCCTCAACATCAAAAGGACATGGAACTGTTGGAACAAGTCCAGAGGAAAGACACGAGGATGATCAGGGGACTGGAGCACCTCCTGTATGAAGACAGGCTGAGGAAATAGGGGCTGTTCAGCCTGGAAAAGAGAAGGCTGCGTGGAGACCGCAGAGCAGCCTTCCAGTATCTGAAGGGAGCCTAGAGGGATGCTGAGGAGGGACTCGTCAATAGGGACTGTAGGGACAGGACAAGGGGTAACGGGTTCAAACTTAAACAGGGGAAGTTTAGATTGGATATAAGGAGGAAATTCTTTCCTGTTAGGGTGGTGAGGCACTGGAATAGGTTGCCCAGGGAGGCTGTGAATGCTCCATCCCTGGCAGTGTTTAAGGCCAGGCTGGATGAAGCCTTGGGTGAGATGGTTTAGTGTGACGTGTCCCTGCCCATGGCAGGGGAGTTGGAACTAGATGATCTTAAGGTCCTTTCCAGCCCTAATATTCTATGATTCTATGACATACTATAGAAACATCATCTCTCTGGTGACAAGCAACAGGACACAAGAAAATAGAATGAAGCTGTATCAGAGGAGGTTCAATTGGACAGAGGAAAAGGTTCTTCACTGAGAGGGTGGTCACAGCACCAAGACTGTCAGAGTTCAAAGAGTGTCTGGAAGACGTTCTGAGTGAAATGGTTTAGTTTTAGGTAGTCCGGTGAGGAGCAGAGTTGGACTCGATGATCCTTATGGGTCGCTTCCAACTTGACACGTTCTGTGATTCTATTATTATCAACTACCTGAGCAATATTCCGTAAGCAAGAAGAATAAAAGCTTTAAGAAGGACTATAAGAATAGATTTATAAAAACGATTTCTCCCTTTTCTAAAGTCTATGGAGGAAAACAGAAGAGATACTCACTGAAGAAGCAAGCTGAAAAGTTACTGAAAAAAAGCAATCAAGAACATCCTCATATTTCATATGAAGGTGGGAAAAGATCAATATCTTAATATTTGAAGAGATGACTAGTGAGACATGAAATAAACCAGAAAAGACTATTGAAGTTGACATCTAATTGTATTTGATGCAGTGGAGTATGGAGAGATGGAGGTGGATCTGAAAGCAGTGAGCCAGGAAAAAGAACTTCTACAGAGGTACTATAAATGAATTGTAAGATGGGATATGTCTAAACTGAAAAAGAGGACACCTCAGAATAGAGTTTGATAGAACTGTGTAAGAGAGGCAATATGGCTTGAATGATTTTTAGGAAAGATACTGACAAAAGACAATCTCTGAGAAAATATGCATAAATTTAGCAGTAAAATCAAGATAACGCGTTCACCTTGAATACAGGACCAAGTCAAAATAGGAAGGCATAATATAAGTAAGAAGTATAATATAGCTAGAGTCTATGGTAACTGGGGAGAAAGAAACCCTGAAGAGAACTAGAAGCTCTATCTTGGCTCAGTTCTATATAAATTACCTGATGTGCATACATAAATACATGTCAAAAATTCATGCTGAACTTTTAGATTTGCAAGTACTAGATGGGTCGAGACAAGACAGAACAATCTATAGAGACTCATCCAAAGGGAGTTCTTCTATAGTTCAGACAAGCTTCAACACCTAGTCCAGAACAGAATGTCGACTCCCAGTTAATGGCCTCTGGTTTGGAAAGACATTTGTTTAGCTTCGGCTTTTGGATCCTGCACCCTCTGGAAGTGCTACACATTACTGCATTATTCATTAATAAAAGATACTGAAGCATTAGGGTAAGAATATTCAATGGGAGAACATCCCTAGAAAATTCATTGCTAGAATAATATTCTTAATCAGTAACTATCTACTGCTTTCCGGCTTTTAATCAATTTGAAATATACTATGATATTTGGGAAACAAGTTATAGCATTAAAAGCAGTTTTTAGTAAGAGTGTATGAAACAAAGTTTGAGCTAATCTAAATGCGCAGGAAACTAGACAAGGTCAGTTAAAGCAAAGGAATCAATATGCCACTTCAGCATGTGAGCAAACCAGAGCATCAGTGGCAGCTGCTACTTCACATAACCATGTTCAGACAACCTGCAAAAACTTGCTGTGCCCTCCTGGCACCTTTGTTGGCTTGAAGACGCCATGCAGCATCAGAAGTTAAAACCCTACCCTCCCATACAAGACTGAATGCAAAGAAACACTTAAAAAGTAAAGATATGTCTTCAGACAATTTTTTATTACTGCCACCTCAGTCCCATCTCACTGCTGTTTCTGGATAACAAAACCACCCAGTGCCTAACCCACTATTAATAAATGCAGACTGGAGTGAGAACTGGGAGACAGTTGCATATGTTTTTATCAGAGCAAAGTGACCAGAAGAGCATATTTGGAGAGATGTAAAGAAAGAAATGCGGCCAGTAGCAGCGGATGAGATGCCCTTTATGGGAGACTGCAGATGTGATGAGAGTGCTCTGCTAAGCTCATTACAGTGACTTCTTTTACTGAGTTTCAGACTTACCATAAGAGCTTTAGCTTTTAAATAACATGGTGGCATCAGGCAAAGAGGTTGCTGAGCGCACAGGAAAGATTTTTACCCTTTTTTGGTTTTAATAGGTTGAACAGATAGATTCTATTTCACCCCTATCAGTTTCCTGTTGGCAGGCAATGCATTTCAAGAAATATATTGGCAGGAAGAAGAGAGAACAACAAAATGAATGGATGCCTAGAAAATAGATCTCATTAGGAAACAGTAAAAGAATCAGGGTTATTTAGTTCAGAGAAAAGATGTTCAAGAGAGGACAAGATAATGACTTTCTGGTATATAAAAGGCTAATACAATGAAAAAGAAAGGATTTTGTTTGTTTTTCTATGGACATGAAGAATATAAAATAACACCAAAATGAAGCAAGGAAAAGTAAATCAGTTATTAGAAAAAAAAGTTGGTGATAAGGATAACTAATACTGGAGCATGACTCTGCTGCAGAGTCATCCATACAGCTTGTAAAAACACACTACAACGCATGCAATTATAAAGACCGATGTGATTTGACTCTGCCCAGGAATGGAAAACTAAGATCTACACAGCTTCCTTAACTGCTCTTCCAGCTATACTGTTCTAATGGGTTTACCTAGCAAGGTTTTGGTAGCGGGGGGCTACAGGGGTGGCTTCTGGGAGAAGCAGATGGAAGGTTCCCTTTTGTCACACAGAGCCAGTGTCAGCTGGCTCCAAGATAGACCCATCACTGGCCAAGGCTGAGCCCATCACTGACAGTGGTAGCACCTTTGGGGTAACGTGTTCAAGAAGGGGAAAAGACCTCTGCAACTACAGATAGAGAGGGGAGTGAAAACAGAGAATCAGCTCTGCAGGCACCAAGGTCAGTGAGGGAGAAGAGGAGAAGGTGGCTCCAGGCGATGAAGCAGAGGACCCTCTGATGCTCCCTGCAGTGCAGACCATGGTGAGACAGGCTCTGCCCCTGTAGCCCATGGAGGTCCACAGTGGAGCAGATAACTCCCTGCAGCCCATGGAGGTCCATGTGGAGCAGATATCCACATGCAGCCCACGGAGGTCCATGGTGGAGCAGATATCCTCCTGCATTCCATGGATGACCCCAAACCAGAGCAGAGGAATGCCCGAAGGAGGCTGTAAACTGTGGGAAGCCAGTGCTGAAGCAGCTCCTGGCAGGACCTGTGTCCCCATGAAGGGAGGAGCCCATGCTGGAAGAGGTTTGCTGCAGGACTTGTGACCCTGCAGGTGACCCATGCTGGAGCAGACTGTCCCTGAAGGATGCACCCCATGGAAGCGACCCACACTGGAGAAGCCTGTTCCTGAAGAATACACCTGTGGGAAGGACTCACGCTGGAGCAGTTCATGGAGCACTCTCTCCTATGGGAAGGACCCCACACTGAAGGAGGGGAAGAGTGTGAGGAGTCCTTCCCTGCGGAGGAAGAGGGT